GTTGACTTGTTCAGCTCGCGGCTGGGAAGGGGGAACGTGGCTGGATCTCGAACATCTCCAAAGGCTGGAAGCGGAGGTCTCCGAGTAGCTAGTGGGCTGGGACATTCCCGGGCTGAGTGACAATAAACCAGCCGGTAGCCATGACTTCCCCAGCTGCGTTCCCGACGCAAGGAGGCAGCAGAGAGGGGCCTAGACAGCGCCCGGTTCCCTCCCTGAATTCGGAACGAGCCAGGAGACTTGTCGAGAAGTGTGCCGAGGAGGCGCCTGCTTGGAAGAACAAGAACTCCATCTTCTGTCCGGAGCGCAAACTGGGCGGCACGTACCCTGCCCATCTCCGGGGGTCTGTGTGTTTTCGTGGTTCATTTCTAGGGAGGAGTTTCTCTTCCCGTTAATGCTGGGGACTAACAAACAAACAGCCTCCCCCCCAAAAAAAAAATCTCAACAGAATGGACCTTCCTGCAGCAGGGATGTATTTGCGCGCGCACAAACCGCACAAACAAGTACACACAGACATACACAAGCGTATACACGCTAATACAAAAGAGACACACGCACCCACCTGTACAGCCACAGCAACCTATCCAAACACCTAAACAAACCAGAGAAATAATGGCAAAAACACGGACACACAACACACATTCAAACGCACAAGAAATAGCCTAGTAGCGCCTTAAAGACTAACAAAACATGTGGATGGTATCATGAGCTTTCGTGGGCACAACCCAAAATATATACAGGCATGTAGAAAACGAACACCAACACACAAACACAGAAGTGCATAGTCCTCCGGGTCTGTCTGTCTCTCTTGTCTATTCAGTATACCGCTAGAACTAAGCGAGGAAACACCAGTGTATTTCCAAAGCGAAAGGATCGCTACTTTGGTAGAACAGTGATAGAAACGTAGCCGTGTTAGTCTGGTGTAGCTGAAACAAAAACCAGGACTATGTACTTTGGTAGCTGGGATTCAGAGTCGAATCCTTTGCTGTTAGCTTCGGTCCAGATTCTGCTCCGAGTTACTCCGAGGCACATCCGGAATAACTCCGAATTGACCCCACTCTGGCTCCCTGAAAAGTGCAGCCATCAGGAAATGTAACTTCCCTTTATTAGTTACAAGCGCGAGCGTCACGACGAGCGATTTCTGTGCAGGGCGGAAAGAGCCGCGCCCCCGGAACCGCTTGCTAGCTGGCGAGACAGACAGAAAGGCGAACACGAGGCATAAAGCAGAAAATGCATTTAAGGGAAGCGAGTCTGCGATCTTGGCTCTGAGCCGCATGGATGCAACCCCCTTCCTCCCCGGGGAAAGAGCTGGTTGCCTTTGACCTTCGGGTTGGGAAATACATTTCGAACACCTCGACATTCCTGAGAATCAAACCCAAATGGCCCGTCTGGGTGCACGCTAAAGCGCTCCATCGGTGTTTGGCCTCCCGGCGTGCGGGGTTGTGCTGGGCTGGAAGAAATCAAGCCTCTTACCTGTGTCTGGACAGGGAGGCACATCCTGAAGGTCCCTTCTATGCATCATAAAGAATTAACTCATTGACCACATATTTATTCCTCACCCCCTCTGGCACGTGAAATAAACAAATCAAAACACAACAAGCGATAATATAGTTAATCAAATTAACTTCTCCCCTCCCCGTCTTCATTCCTACGCCTTCCTACGCAGCGCCTTAGCTGTACTTCTGGTGCATGGGAACCCCATGACATTCCGGTTCATTATCTCGTCTCGCTAGCTTGAGGGCTATGTAATGGAAACCCAGCTATGTCTACACTACCAGGTCATTTTGGAGTAAGTTATTTTGAAATAATAACTGGTGAAATAACTATTTCAAAATAAGCTTATTCCTCTTCACAAGCAGGACTATTTCAAAATAACAGGCTTGGTAGTGTGAATGCGGGCAAATAAGGGGAGTTACTTCGAAAGAACTTCCCAATGTAGACATGCCTCAATGAACCGGTGGTTGTAGTTTATTCAGAACAAAGGGATTGGGCAGGAGCGCTCAGCCAAATATGCAGCAAGGTTTGGTTTCTCATAATAGCGCATTTGCCTATCTGTATCGGAGGGGTCCTGAGAACCAGGCTCTATGTATTCCGTGGCACACACAACGTTTGTACAAAAAATCTCCTAAATGGAAGAGTTTATATGGTTTATAACCCTTCCGCCCACTGTCTGCATTAGAGGCGTCTTTGAGCAAGGATTTCTTGTATACTCGTTTATATATTACACACACACACACCTGAGTTACTCCACTCCTGAATTATACCTCTCTCTACACACACACACACACACACACACACACACACACACACACACACACACACACACCTGAGTTGCTCCACTCCTGATTTATAATTTGCCCTTCTTTTATTATCCCCAGTCACATCCACTTCGAACCAAGATGAAAAAACTTAAAAAACAACAAATAGTCTGGTAGCACTTTAAAGACTAACAAAACATGTAGATGGTATCAAGAGCTTTCCTGGGCACAAACCTCTGCTTCAGATGATAGGGGCAGTGTTTGTGTGGGGGGGGGGCGGGGGGGGGGGGGAACCAGCCATGAAGCCCTCCATGAGGCAAGAGCAGAAACACTCTTGGGAGTATTATAACAATGGGGAAGGAAACACTTAAAAAGAAGCAAAAATATTTTCCGGGTTGAATGAAAGCCCCT